GCATCAACAAGTGGTGCTGTAGAACATGAGACATGATCTGTCTCACAGGGATGCTCCCAGAGCATCACTCTGGGATCACAGTGTGATGCCGAGGGTCATGCACGAAAGGGAAATATGGGACTGGCACCCTGCCCTGGGCGCTGGGTGCAGCTCTGACCAACCTTCATAGTCCAGGGTAGAGAGGAACAAACTCCACAAGAGACTCCATGCAGGCTACTAAGCTCACAGGGTTGTTGAGGGCAGATGAGCCTTGACTGGGAGCTGCAGGCTCCTCTGAGGAGCAGCCGTGGAGTTGCTTCAGCCAGCGGGATGGCTGCTGCCTTCACATCAGCAGCAATCAACACGATCTGTCCGAAAACTAAAGTCACATTAACAGTTATTGATCTATAACTTTTAACCCATTAATTTTTTACCATATTGGACTGCATCCTAATAGGTAGCCTTTTATGTTCAGCACTACACAAACTCTACTCCATCAGCAAAAACAGCCCCTGTGGGCAAATCTGTGACTTCCACTGAGCTGAATGATAGAGGACTGGAACAACATCTTTAGACAGATCAGTTCCTGTTCAGGGTAGCAGTGGCCATTATGCAAATCGAGCCATCAGAAGTTTAGAAGCCTGGAACCATTATATTTCTTTATTTCATTAACATCAGTGCGAGTGAGTTAATACAACAGTGATCCCATTGCAGGGCTTACCCAGAATGGTCCCCCCATCATTTAACAAGACTGGTGATTTTCCCTATCGGGGGATCCCAGCAGCTGTCCTGGGGGCACTGAGGCATTTTTGACAGCATGCAGCTGAGCGAGGGGTGGGTGACAAATGTCTCTGAGCAGATCAGCACGCAGGAATCCTCTGCCCAAGCTGGCAGATGGCTGGGAGGGCCCTGCTTGTTGCATCAGCGGGCAGACATCCAGAAGGATGCTGTGGAAAGTAGGGGATCAGTCACAAGGGGCTGATTTCCCACTGGTTCCTTGGGGGTTTTGCTCTCTCTCAGAGCACCAGCACAAAGTCTCCTTCTGTGGTGTCCTCATGGGCCAGAAGAAATTGCTCGGGCAAAGATGCTCTGGTGTGCACAGAGGCATAGGCATGAAGGATTCAGATTTACAAGGCAAGGCAGGAAGCATGAAGACAGCAGTGTTCACCCCATTTCCTCCTCAATATCAATATGAGGAGCTGAGGACTGATCTAATACAGGCTTGATGTTATAGATTTGTGCTCCAGCACATGCCCTGGTGCCCAGGTGGTGGCTATCCCTCCTCTTCTTCCTCCCTCCTATCAACACAGTATCAGCACAGCCACAAATGTATGCCTTCACCACCACCTCTATCCTCCCACATATCCCCTGTCTTCAAGGCACAGGTACATTCCCTATAACAGCAATGCAGACACACATCCCTCTTCGTGGCCCCATTCAGCTGAGGGCATTAGCAGCCAGCTCCTCTTTATAAATAGAGAACTAATACATAGCACTATCATGTCAGCAAAGAAATTATGGGGTCCTGGGACTCAGCCCTTGTGTTTGTGTCTTAAGGAAGGGAGTGAGTGATACCTGGCTGTCCACAAAAGCCAGCCCATGCTATGTGCTCCAGCAACCCTGCGAGCAGCTGACTCCCTTTCCCATACCATACACTCTCTTTCACCTATATAACCTCACACAAAAGAGACACAAACATGTCTACACTAACGTGTACGTAGGTACTTGCATAGGTCTGCAAAATAAAGATCACAGCATGCCACACTAATGGATCACAGCACTCTAACAGCTCCATTATAAACGGTGATGTCTCCAAGCATTACTGCTAAAGACTCTATCTTCTAGTGTTGAAACTTTTAATTGATTTTAAAATACACAATCAATCACAGTTAATCAAGGAATCCTGAAGAAGCCATCGTACGCAAATACACAAAGACAGCATATAAACCACAATTAATGACCACTTAAACAATGGTTGGAATGAAAATAGGATAATTTATTAGTGTTTATGAACAGTAATGGATAAAGTAATGGAACTGGAGCATGGGGGTGCGTTAGAAGCTGAAGTGTGTGATGTTTAACACCAAGTGGCCGTAAGTGACTTTTCCATGAATGGGTCAATGATACAATTTAGATAAATCTTTCCAAAGGAAGAAAACACCATTTCCCCCTCCTCCAACCATTACCGTCAGCCTGCTGTCACTTCTGGAGGCGATGCGTCCTGAAGCAAGGTAGGGGCCAAGCCAAGAGCAATTCCTGGGTTCTCACCACAAACCCAACCTCTGCCCTAGGTTCCATCAGATACAGCCTTGTTCCATAGCAAGGGAACCTGTAGTCCCCTGCCAAATGCTCCTTTGGCTGCCTTTAGCCATCCACACACTTCCAGGGCGGCTGTCCGTCCTCCTGAAGGCTGTCTCACCATACACCAATGCAACTGGACAGCTCTGGCTTTAATAATAAGGAGAGTGATTAAAACCCAGCTGGGTTCCCTGACCCAGCCTTGCAGAGCAGATTGCTCATGTCTCAGGGTGGCATGCAGATAAAGGTAAGCAAAGCAAGCACTGGAGGTTATGAAGCCTGAGTCAAGGACAGTGAGCTTGGGCAGGGCAAAGGAGGTGAATTCCATGGAGGCAGCTTGGAGGCCTCTAAGGTTTGTCCTTGACCACAGCTCCAGGTGGTCTACCCAGGATTTAGTACAAAAGACTATTTTGCCTAAGCTGGCTTTATTCACACCCACATAGCAAGAGACTTTCAAGCCCAGAGCTGTGCTCTCCGGAGGCAAACAGCAATGCAATCCTACCTGTGCTGCCTGCAGCCCCGTTTTGCTATTTGCTGTGCTGGATCTACACCTTCCCATGCCTCCTTGCACTGCCTGTCCCCAGGGCCAGGCAGAGGTACAGGGATGTGGCATTCAGGCAGGGAGCAGTGGCCCAGTTCCCTCCTATAATGCAGACCTCTCCTTGCTGCTGTGCACGCAGTAGCGCTCTTGGCACATGGTACAATGGAGAGGCAATGATGAAGGGAGCCCTGGTAAGGAGGAAGGGAGAGCCCAGAGGAAACTCTGTCCTCTTGCACCTATTCCCTTGAAGGCAAGCGCCATCTAACCCCAAAACACCCCCAGCACATTGCCCTAACTGGTGTCCCTGCAGAAACTAGGTGCCTGCGTGAGTACCTCTTTCCTTCCTGACACAGGAGCATGGGGTTATGCTTGTGCACAGGCATTCCTGTAGCGAGATGAAGGTCTCAAGCTTGATTAGGGAGAGCTTTTAGCATCAAACTTAAACTCTTATTAGTCATCAGATCACAACCTTAATGAACTGTCTAGGTTTGGTGATGGCGACCTGAAAAGGAGCTGATGGCAGGTCAAACCCCATAACCACATCGTTCCTGGGGTTTTGCTGTGGGGCTGAGGATGCTGCAACTCCTCACTTCAAGCCCTGCCCATCAGCAGCCTCCCTCCCCACTGTGCTTGCGCTCACTCGCATGTATCAACATCTTGCTCTCCTTCACTGTCTCTTTTATTGCCTTGCAAGTTGGCCCCAGGATACTTTATCACACCATGGCACATAATACAAATGAAAAACAATAGGGGAAAAGTTTGAATCATTCTTTTTTTTTTTAATATATTCATCCCTGTGCCAGGGAACAATGATCCATCTGATTAAATCCACATGCTAGAGTTTATTAAACCAGGTTGGCCTCTTGCTTTCTCTCTCCTTTAGGCAGGGACAAGCTCATTAAAATGAACATGCTCTGCTCCCTCCCTGTTGCAATCCCACTTCATGCTGTCTCGGTGCTGCCGCTATCTTGTGGGCATCATCAGGAGCTGATGAATAGAGCTCTGCAATTCAGTTTCCACTGGCAGCAGCACACGAGCCTTGGTGTGGCTTTTTGGCAAAGAGCAGGAGATGCCTTCAACCTACCAGTGCCTCATAGCTGTGAGGACGCAAGAAAAGGCACCTTAAAATTGGAAAGAGGGACTGACCACCTCACTCCAGCTCTCCCCCAACACCTGATGTGTCGTTTACCTCCTCACAGGCTCTGTTTCTCATCTGTAAAATGGATTTGATGGTCACCACTCCCCCGTTAGGATAATTAATGGCTATAAAGCACTTTGGATCCTGAACTAAGAATAAACCCATCAGCAGTGCCAACGTGACAAGTGGGCATCCAAGACAGTCTCTCCCTTGGGACCAGGTCCCTGCACAGGCTCCTGAGTCTGCTCTGGGCATCTGTGCACCCTGCAGCCCCCACTGTCCTTGGGCTCCCCAGGCAGGTCACCAGCCCCCATCAGTGGGGAGGCATTTCCAGAAGGCCAATGTTTGCTGCAGCTCCTCTTCCTCCTCAGCAGCCCTTCAGATGCAGCCTAAGTCTGTTACACCCTGGTGATAACAGTGGCTTAGGCCATATAATCCCTCCTTTACTTGACTTTGGGTTATTTTGAGCAGGAGATTAAAGGAGATTATCTGCATCACCTGAGATGCTGCACTTTCTATCTCTAACCCCTTCTCTCCACCCCCAGGGCTCACCCAGATCCAGGCAACAGAACCTCCTTCCCTTGTCCTCCACCACACTTTAGTCTTGGGGCACCAACCTGGGCACTGCCATGTGGTGGCCCATCATCAGTTTCATTCCCTGGACCCAGCTTCTCACCTGGCCACCAATGTATCCTGCACACCTACCTCCTAAACCAAGGCCAGGCATGCTCAGCAGGAGGGGAGAGAGAAAGAAGGGCATCCCAGCACACTGCAGCACTAATTGGCATTAGCTGTTCAATAGGCTTCTCCTTGAGAAGGAGGTGGTGGCAGAGAGGATAAAGGAAGTCTTCCTTTGGGCACTGGGGCTTGTGGCAGAGTGTGCTGGGTTCAGCGGCAGCTGCTTGTCTCCATAGCCAGAGGATGGAGAAAGATTGCCCGTTTAGAGCATCCCACATTATGTTAGAAAAAAGTAATCACAGTAACACAGGAAAAGCACTGAAAAGTGTCTGTGTTTCATGGCCAAGGAGGAATTCCCATCATCTGGCACTACCCAGCCAAAAGCATCACCCAGACTTGGGCAGGGAGCTCCTTTACATTACCTGCAGACCACGTGCTGCTCTCCAGCCCTCTTGAGCTCAGGTTCAGCAAAGCAGTTAAGCGCTGGTTTGAATTCCTCCCAAAGCCTTGCTGAAATCAGCAGCTTTGTTGAATCAAGGTCTGAATAGGCAGAGTGACAGTGACCAGGAAAGTTAATTCTCCTTCCTATCTGAGGGAAGGACGCTCAAGCATCCCAGGGTTGGGAAGCACCTACCAAACAGCAATAGCTCCCCTGGGAAGCAAACACCCCCATATGGCATCCCACCAGCACACGTGTGACCTGTGCACACGTTCACAGCGCGCTCGCACCTTCATGATCTGTTTTTCCTCATTTCAGCCCGGAATCCATCTGCCACCCTGGAAATTAATAGCAATCATTAAACAAAAAAGGGCTGGCAAAAAGAAAAAAAAAAAAGAAAAAAGAGCCCGAGGTGAAAAGCAGCTATTTCTGCCAGGAAAAAAATTAAAACTATTTAGACATACAGCAAGTCGTTTATTACCGTGAAGTCCTGCCTCCACCTGGGGTTTAAATCTCATTACAGTTTGTCCAAAACAGATGTTACCCTTTCAGCAGAAGATTATTAACGATAAACTCCATTCCCCCAGAGAGGGTGGGTCTTCTGGGCTCGCTTGCTTTTTCGACTTGGGTAACCTCCATAGGAAATGCTTATGAAAAGGACAGGCGGTCCAAATCCTGGCATAGCTCCTGCTTCTACTGTCTTGGGGTCCACAGTTTTTCTCCACCTCTTCTGGAGGTGTCTGGGCAAGCAGGGAAACGCAGCAGCCCTAAGAGTGACCACAGACCTAGGAAGGTGACCATAGGAAGAGCTTTTCCATGCTGCAAGCCCACACTAACACATCAATAGCTCCTGCTGCTGCTTTTCCACCAGCAGTTTGGCATTAGCCACATATCAATACAAAACCAGTTTCTCATGGATAGAACCTGACATGTACAGGACCCATTTTTCCAAGCTTCTCTGCTTCTACCCACGCATTTTTTGGACAGAAGGCAGTTTGGTTGGGCTTTAGGCTTGCTGCACCATAGAGAAGACCCAACAGTCCCTCATACCAGTGGCTGAGCATCCTCTATGGACAAAGATGAGCCCTGCTTATTCCCAGCATATATCAGTGGGAAATCAGCTATCCATGAGAGAAACAGCCTGGCACACAGTTTAACCAGCCAAGCCCACAGTGAAGCCGTATCTTTGCTCTGTTTAGGTTTAACATAATAAAGATACCTGCTCAGGAATCTAGAAGCCACATTAACCATGCTGCAAACACAATCAAATAAGACAGTAACACCAGCTCCACACAAATACAGCCATCTGGCTGCTCAGCCATCTCCTAACCGTTTCAGGTAGGAGGAAGCGCATCCTCAGCCCTCTCCAGAGAGCCTACTAAATCGATGTTCTCACGATGCCTCTCAGAGCATCCCTGGGAAGCCAGCAAGTACCAGCTATTTTGGGTCTGTTGATGGTGAAACTGGCATCTCAGAAAACACTTTTTTCTATCAGCACAGTGTTTTTCCACACCCCAAGGGAAGCAGCAAGGGCTCTATTCCTGGCCATGTCTGTCTGTGAGTAGTCGTTGCTGGAGAAGCCATTCTCTCACCACAGCACATCTCAGGACTTCAGGCTTTATGTGCCATAACCAAACTCTTCATGGAGCCCTGAGACCCCCAAGGGGAGCCCCAAGAAAGCAATGCACCCACCTCCTTACAGGCACAGGGTATCCTTGGGATGAGTCCATCATGTCCACGCGTGTTATGTCAAAGGCATGGCAGAACAAGTGCAGAGGCCACGCTGGTGGGAGGCTGTGAGTTTATGGCTGAAATCAAGCTCTTAAATGCAGCTGAGGTGAATAAACACCCATAACCACCCTATGGGCTCTGCCAGAGGGTACAGTCACTGCTACCTCTGATCCCTGCACAACCACACGTGCTAGTCTGCATCCACCCTTCATCCTCTCAACCTCATCCCAGACTCATCTTGAGCACAGACCTGTGACATCCAGGTCCACCAAGCCACCACCACCAGGCTGGGACCACGGTCCCACATCCCTCAGCTCCCCCTAGCACTGCAGGGATCTGGAGGGTGCAGTGGGGCTGAACACCGTTCCTTCATGGGGACCAACAAGCTAAGGTGCTTATGGCATAGGTATTTGTTTGTAGCATGGGTTTTAACACATTTTAACAGGAAGGGCGAGTACGTATTTCTGCTGCTGAAACAAACAGCCTCTGAAAAGTATTTTCCTGCAGAAACAAAGCATATGTTTTGGATGTCAGGGCATAAGCAGGGTTGTCAGTGTTGCACAGGACCTGTCTTGACCTAAGGAAGGAGAAGGTCTCTCCTCCAAGAGCCGACAAACCCGAGCTCCTGCAGCAGAGCTGTGTGCAGGAGCAGGGCAGTGCTGGCTAAGCTGTGCATGGAAGGTGGTCATGCCTGCTTTCCTCTGCAATGCTGTTATCCTGAATAAACATTAGATAGGTTTTGGAGAGCTGCCCAGATGATCATTAACCTTCTCCTGGCCCATGACAAGAAACCAGCCCGCAGCACTGAGCTAAAATTAGGCCTGGAGGGCACTGGGGCTTGCCAGATATCACAATGTCTGGGCAGAAGCCCCCTTCAGAAAGTGTGCAGCCAATGGGTTCAGCCTTAAGCCGGGCTCCTCAGCCCCAGAGGACATTAAAATCAGAATAATTTAGGTTGGAAGAGACATCTGGAAGTCTTCTCCAACCAGAGAGCAGGGCCAACTTCAAAGACAAGCAAGTCAGAAAGGTGTTTGCTTATAGCACAGCCATGGCGATCCCTGTGTGCAGGACACTTGCTGATGAAGAGATGAATCCCTTTTTGCCTACCCAGAGATCACAGCCAACCATTGCCATGAAACCTTACATGTGCTGCATATCTCTGTCCATCTCCTAAACACTCAGCAGTACGATCCACCCACTGTGACTGAGGTAGGCACTGGCCAGAGTCTTTCTGGTTTGAGATCCCTTCACAGGAGAAGAGTGGGACAGAGGGAAAAGTCCTGAGAATACAACCATTAAAGAATCAGAGGGAACAAAACACTTGGTTAGCTCTGTTAGGAACGACCGTGAGAAGCATTTTGTGAATCCATGAGCAGATTTCACCCTGTATAAAAGTGACGTTTCCTGTCTGGGATGCAAAGGGTTATGTGGGCCTCCTGCAAACAGAAATTAATGGATGAAAGCAGTAAAACCCTCTTCCAAACAGCAGCAAAGATCTGAGCTGGGATGACAACACAGCAGAGACAAGGCACGGTTCAGACTGTCAGTGCTGAGGAACACCGGTGGCTTTGCTGCCCAGCGTGGGGCTGGCTCCCTCCTTTGTATCCGTGCTGGAAAGCCATGCTTTGATCTTCAGCACTCTTTGCAGGGGTAAAACAGGAGTCCTGCTCGCACACCAGACCTCTGCTTTCCCCCAGCCAAACATCAGCGTAACCATCCCATAATGGAGCTGTGATTCAGGCTGATTATTTCTAAGGAAGAACCCCATCAAGTAAATACTAGAGAGGCTTTCTCCCCTGGAAACACACTTTTCTTATTACTCCTGTTGTACCTAATCAGAGCTCTCGGCTCTCCACATCCCCTAAAACCTTTTTCCTCTTCACCTCCCTCTAACTCTGCCCCTTTAATTGTGCTCCTTGGCTCTATAAGGGCTCGACTGCTCTGTCACAGGCTGGAGCTGACATTTCATATCTGCCCATGCTGATATTTCAGGAGCCTGGTTTAACGCACAGGTAACCCAGCTGGGCTTAAGGCATTCACCAGGAAGCTCATTTATGCATTTCCTCAAACTCAGCAGAGAATTTTGCTCAGTGGTCCACAGCAGTGTGTGATAGGGTTGTCATCTCAGTGGACCCTGGGAGCTAAGCAGCATGAGATGGAGGTAAATGACTTCGGACTGCAGCTGGGTGAAAAGCAGAATGCCTGTATTTCCTGAAATCCCAAGAGCTAACCTGTCTTGGAAACATGGCCATTTTAACACAGAGCTTGATTAGCCACAGAGCAAACAGGTTCTTAAAAACCTCTTGTGCAAACAGGTTTGTTTTGGCTAATCCCAGGTTGCAGCGCTGGCCTCAGCCTGGCTGGTGGAGACACCAGTGGCTTTGAACCAGGGCTCCCATCAAGCACCCACAAGTTCGCAGCTAAACTGGCCCAAATCTCAACTTCCAAGAGAGATTGTTGTTTTTCAGACAAAGGTTTGATTTTGCAGAAAGTGCATTTTGCACCGGAAAACCATTTTACTGGAAACTCCCCCATGCAACCAGGTGCACAGTGAGCTGTCTCCTATGGGAATCCATGTCAAGCAGCAGCAAGGGCTGGCTGTTTGAAGGGAAGGCAAGGCAGGAGCAGGGGTGACCCCAGCTCCCTCCCCACCCAGGGTGATGTCTCCCGGCATGTGAACACAGCAGGCAAGGTGCTAACAGGATCCATTGGCAGTTCAGGCAAGACAAGGGATGAACCACATCCAGGGTCCACCCAAGGAGACCACTCAGGAGCTAAAGGAGATGGGGGAGCACTGGACACAAGTTGCATTGCATGGAGTCAGTCCAAGAGATTAGCCACCTACCACACAAGCCTGAGGTCTATCCTGGAGGCAGGACCACAAGCAGGGCTGGGGACAGGCACACCATCAGCAGAGCTCAGGAAAGGAACAGAGCACCAGAACCGAGCTTAGATGGAGCTCCTGGGCCTGTGGCTGGAGGCCCCAGGTGAGGCTGATCAGGGTCATTAGTGGCTTCAGGGCCTGACAACCAGATACGTTTCTGGTGTTCATTTGGCCATTGGTCATACTGTCCCATGCCTCCTGCAAAGAGACTGCAAAATGATCCAGCAGCCAGAGTCTGAACACCGAAAAGCCATCAGTGTCTTGATCTCTGTTGACCTGTGTTCCCCTTGGTAGGAACAAACCAGGAGAGAAGCATTGGCCCTAGCACCATATAGAGCCCAGGAGTGTTGGTACACCAGTAATAGTAAGAGTAATAGAGACCAAGTACCTAACTTCTGCTTGTTTCTCCCAGCCCATCCCAGAAAAGTGATCTCTTTCCCATCCGTCCCACCTGGCTACTTATCACCTATTCTGTATCCTCCCAAGGTCTCAGGAAATGCAGTGCTGTGCACTTCTCTCTCAGACCCCCTTTTACCTCTCTGCTTCACTCCTTCTTCGTCTCTCTCAAAACCTCAGTGAAAAATACATCTCTTCTCCCTTGCCTATTTTTCTTAAAGAATAAATAATAGCAGGAGAGAGTAGAATTTGCCGGAGAACTCTATTATCTAATGTGGGAATAAGGTTGGGGTGCCCAAAATGCTGCCTAAACCGTGTCTGCAGAGGCAGTATTAGTACCAGGACCTCTGGATATAAAATGAACACAAGTTTTACAGGCCCCAGTATCTTTATTATTCTGCGTGGTTGTGATTCTGACCAACATCACCCGGCAGGATGCATGTAGTGAACACCAGGAATACGAATGAGCAGAAAAACTTGCCTGAAAGCCTCCTTTCCTCACCTGACATGCACAGGATGGATGTCAAGTCATTTAGGAGAGGCTTCATCACTAGCAAATGTTTTCTCTGCCATCTTGGAGCTGCCTCCTTGGTTTATTTTATGAATAATGAAGAGCCAGGGTTCATTTCAAAACTGGGTGCCTTTAGATGCATTTTTCCATCCCCACCACTTTGGGTGACTAAACACTTGTCGGTTGTAATGTATTGTTCCCGTTTTGCTATGGCACTCTTTGTAGTGGGGCTCCTTTGTTCAGTGACTAAATGGCTGTGAAAGAGGGTCTAAGAAACAGAAACACGGTGAACTGGAGATGGAGCAGCTAGGGGCAATGAAGTTACGTTGGAGCACTGTCATGTGGATGCACGCATATGCACGTGCACGCGTGTTAATCCAGCTCCTTGCCTTCACTCGGTAAATGTAACCCACAGTTTGAAATAACCCATTCAGTAGAATAACAGAGTCAGGAATTGAGTGCTAGCACACTCTCCCCCTGCTTCCCCAGCCCCCATGGCTGCTTTGTTTGCTTCCCTGCAGCTGCTGCTCTGGTTTCATTTACTCAGATGCCATTAGTCAGGAGAGGGAAGCAAAAACTTCCCAGCCGGTCCACACTGGTTTGTGGAGCCTCTGCATCCAACCAGCATGAGGTTGCTGCTGCTCACCCAGTGCAGGCTGCAGCCTTGTGGACATCGTCTTTGCTGCTGGGTTGTGATGGGGACAAGAGCTGGAGAAGCAGGGATGGGTAGGAGGGGAGGACATAACCAATAAGGGGTGAGGATTAGTAGGGCAAAACACAGAAACTGCAGTATCGGTTGAAGATATCTCTGATTGAGATTAAATCCATCATTTCAAATCATTGCTATTGTTATTCCATGCTGTCTTCATTCCTCTCATTTGTTTCCTTCTCAATCAGTGAAAAGGAACCCCACATCTTCACTTTCATCATTGTTCTGCACATTAGAGTTATAGGTGGTTTGTTCCCTACAGGCAGATCTGTGGTGTCAGAGGACTGGGAAAAAAGTGGTTTGGAGCTGGGTTACCAGGAGGATAATATAAGGACAACTGGGCAAAGACAAACCAGTCAGGCAAGAGGGTTAAAACACAAGCTGTTCTTACTGATTTTTATCCAGTCTGTGGGGAAGAGGCAGAGCAGTCTCTTCCCTGCTCTCCAAAGCCACGTCTCGGCTACAGGAGGTCAGGGACAGCAAAGGCTCCTTGGCCAACCAGCTGCTCTGTTTCACAGAATCATAGAAAAGCTTGGGTGGGAAGGGACCTTTAAAGCTCATCCAGTTCCAACCCCCTGCCATGGGCAGGGACACCTTCCACTAGAGCAGGTTCCTCCAAGCCCCATCCAACCTGGCCTTGAACACTGCCAGGGATGGGGCAGCCACAGCTTCTCTGGGCAACCTGTGCCAGCACCTCAGCACCATCACAGGGAAGAGCTTCTGCCTAAGAGCTCATCTCAGTCTCCCCTCTGTCAGTTTAAAGCCATTCCCCTTTGTCCTGTCCCTACAGGCGCTTGTAAAAGTCCCTCTCCAGATTTCTCGTAGGCTCCATTTAGGTATTGGAAGACTGATCTCCACAGAGCCTTCTCTTCTCCAGGCTGAACAAGCCCAACTTTTAACCTGCAAGAATCAAGCCCGTGATTTCAGAAGCAGAAAAGAACAGAAAAACGAGATTAGAGGCAAGGCAAAAGGTAGAAAAAGGAAGAAGGAGAAACCTCCTGGATGTCTGTTATCTGCTGTTAGAGGGAGATGAGCTGGGAATGAATGCAAGTACCCCTGCTCCTGTCCTGCCACGTGGGATGCTTGGAGCTTGGCTGATGTTGCAGCACACACACACAGGCACACACCCCCATGCATCAACGCTGGCATGATGCTTGGAAGGAAGCTTCCAAAAGCCAACAAGACGAGCAATTATGCCTTCAGAAAGCAACAAGACCCACTTCTCCACTCCCCAGTCATGTCCCGGCAATCTAATAAAAAGGGAGATTAGCCCCTCTTTCCTCTCTTACATCTCCTTAATGCTGTCATTCTATTCACACTTTGCAAAGCAAATAAACCAGCAAATTGCCTGCTTTAATGAGCTGAAATTAAACTCAGGCTGCTGATAAAATGCCTTTTCTCCTTTCTGTTGTTGGGAAGGACTCGTCTGATAGGCAATGTGCAGGGAAGAAGAGAAAACACACAGCAGGAGCCTTACTTAACATGTTTGAGTCATTTACCATTGCTCTCCTTCATCCCCGACATCTCCAGTTAGATGAGGGAGGCACATGGGTGATGGGATGGCTATGAGGGATCAGCCTGAAAAGGTCCGTGGAGGGTCTGTTTCTGTTTACTCATGGGATGGTCCCACTCCACTAGCTAATGCCCTCTGACACAGGCTGCAGCCCACAGCCTCCCCAGGGAGGAACGACAAGAACCTTCCTCTGCAAGAAAAAGGCTGGGTTTGTCTCTGCAGAGCAATTCCAAACACGAGCTTGCCCAGAGAGGATGATTGGGTCAAAATGGGACTTAGAGCAGACAGAATAAGTGCTTGCTAAAGAGCATACACTAAGATGCATCACTCCCTGCTGCTTGCGCTGTCTCAATTTGGCAGGGCTTCCTCTGGCTGCAGGAGGTCTCTGTAATGCAGAACCCCATGGGGAGGACACAGATATGCTCCCACCAAGGGCAAGCACTGCAGGGCAGCAGGCAAGGAAAGACCCTCTGTGCCATCCCAAAGGAACAACTCAGGCAAGCCATTGCTTATGGCTCTGGAGGCCAGAACTACCCTTCTCCCACACCCTTAGGGCAATGGGCACCGCTACAGGAGGCAATCTGAGGAGCTGGAGATGGGTCTCTGTGGCAGAGGACAGCGGGCACATCTAGAGCCCAGCTTGTAGGTGGAGGGAGAGCAATGCATGTGCTGGGACTTTCACCCCATCAGGAGGAGGCCGGGGCACTGTCCTTCAGTCTCCCACAGCCCTATGAAGTGCTATCATTATCTCATGGTTCCGTAGAAGAGACGGGAGCACAGAGAGGTTAATTGAGTTGGCCAGTGCCAGGAGGGATTTAGCAGCAGACGTCTTTCAGCCTGGCACTGCAGCTTGCCTCTCCATCAGCTGGGGAGGGGACAAGGGAGGGACGCTCACACACAATGCCCCAGGGAGCACAGTCCCTTTTCCCTTCCTCACCGCCTCCAAGGACTCAGCTGTGCCAAAATGGGCTGACACATCCTGGCAAAGCATCCCAGGGCAGGGACAGCCACATCCTTGCAATGTGTGTGTAGCCTGTACTGTTCCCCAAAATATACCAGCATCACTGTGGTGATATAAGGGCCTCAGCTGGAATAGGAATGTAAAACATGCTAAGGTCCAGGTTTCTACCCTCAGGAAGAAGGAGATGTGACATTCAGCTGCCTCACCCTCAGCATCTTTCTACCCAAGCCCCATTTCATAGACTCATAGAATAGTTAGGTTTGGAAAGGACCCTAAGATCATCCAGTTCCAATCCCCCGGCCATGGGCAGGGACACCTCACACTAAACCATGTCACCCATTTCTAGTTAACTTTGAAAGCCTGATTTTGTTGAGGTTTCTGCTAAACCTAGGTGGGACAGGACAGCACCAGCCATTGGAGAGGCAGAGAGAGACCGGCAAGTACCCAGGCAGGACCCCACAGAAACATCACCTTAGGGCAAGTACATCTCACCCCCACATGACTGCACAACTGCCATAGACGGTACAGGGTGCAAGAAGGGTGTATGTACCACACAGCCTGCCCTCCATGGGACTCTGAGTGTCAGGCTGTTGTTTTCCCCGCAGCCTCACCTCTGTCTGCTGTAGAGGACAAGGTGGCTGGAGAGCGTCATGGGCAGAGAGCTGACGCGAGAGCAGGTTTTGTTATTCATGCAATGGAAACCCGGCTGTGCAACCAGGGAATAGAGTCATTGTTCACAGTCCAGAAAGAACAAATAAACTGTTCTACTGCTGATTATTACTGGCCTGTTTGCCGAAGTAAACTGAATGGTTAACAGGGATCTCTGCAGTGGAACATGCTCTGATTCCGTGTGTGCATCGCTGGTGGGAAAGAACCTGGTTTCTTGGGGACAAAGGAGAGGGTACACCATCTGCATCTAAATGCTCCTTTGACAATCAGCTTGATGGGGTTTTCAGGTGTGCAGCACCCAGCACAGTCCCTTCACTGCCTGGGTCCTGGGAATTAGTTTGGAAACCAGTTTCTGGTTTTATGCTATTTTTCAGATCCAATGAAAGATCAGTTTAGATACAGGATGTGCCCCTGTCTCCTTCATGGATGCACAAGAAACCTCCAGTTCCTACCAAC